AACTTCCAGTTTCTGTCCGTGAGGCTGACACTCTGTCTTCTTTTAAGATTAGACTGAAGACTTTCCTTTTGATAAATCATGTAGTTAGACTTAGGTTTCCTGAATTATTCTTCATTTCTGCTGCTATAGACTCAGACTGCTGGAGCACAAAATGAGCACATTTCCTCACTCTGCTGTGGTCTTTAGTCTCTCTTCTCTACATGTTTATTGTAATTATTTATTTATATGAATACCTTGTTTTTTTCTTTTTCTCTCTCTCTTCCAGAAGTAGGCACACCTGGACCAGTCCTGGACCAGGTTCTTCTGTGTTTGTCTGTGTCTCTTTCCTGTCCCTCAACCAGCCGGTCGAGGCAGATGGTCTCCTGTCCTGAGCCTGGTTCTGCTGGAGGTTTCTTCCTGATTAGCAGGGAGTTTTTCCTCTCCACCGTTTGCTCAGGATGGGAGACTGTGATGAAGTGAKTCAACACAATCTGCTGGTTTATTCTTTAGATTGTTCTTTTTCATGTACAGTGCCCTGAGACAACGTATGTTGTGGCTTGGACGCTATATAAATAAACTGAATTAAATTGAATTTAGTATTATTATTTGCAAGATTTTTTTTTCTTTTGCAAGCACAAATAGCTGTAGCTTCTGTAATGCAGCCAGAGGTCATATCCAGCAGGACTTTTCAAAACTACTTTTAAAATAACCATGTAATACATAATTCATGGTAGTGTAAAGTTGTAAATAATTGCATGAACCAATATGAAATTTTGAGTGAAGTTGTTTCAAGTCTGCAAAATATGCTTTGGTAGTGAATCCACTGTTCATACTGATGAGAAAATAAAGGCTAAATAAAGGCTAGAGAAAACTCCCTTATTCTGAAACAACTCAAATCTTCATAATTTCATAGCAGTTTGGGCAAACGTTATTTAAACCTTTAAACTGCTGTCAGTTTGGCAATTACAGATATTTGAGTCAATTATTTCTATTTTTTAATCCTTTCCTTTCATTTGGTTCCTTTCACTTTCAAATCCACCTGTGGAATTTCTTTGCTGCTTTGCGCTCTAATGACACCGGAATCTGCACTACTTTCTTTTTTGTTGTTGTTGTTGTCGTGCATATTCAGTAGCTTCTGTCTATTTAAATTCCAACATCATAATTTGCATCAAAAATCATTGTGAGCTGTGCATGCATATAAGCCTGTGATTTAGGATGTAGCTCTCCTAGTGCTGTCCACACACAATGAATGCTGATGGAAAGACATGATAGGTTGTCCTGTAGGGAAGGCTGGTCAGATGAAAAAAAAAGCTGCTTGGTATTCCATTCCCCTGCAAAGCATGACACACCAGAGAGGGATGCTGGTAAATATGCAAATGAGAAATCACTTTATATGTTTCATGGTTCTCTAAAGTTCATTAGCCTCAGAGATGATATGCAGATGTATGTGGATGTGAAAGAACTGGGAAAATATTCTTCAAAATATCACACAATGAAAAAGACATGAATGTATTCTGCATGTGAATATGCAGACACATGAAGCCACTGTTAACACTCAGTACTGCAAAGTGAACGTTTACCCTCTACTTTATTTACTGTAAGTATTTCTCTTGTGTTTGAACTGCATCACTTTTATGTGGGTTAAACAGTTTAATGGRAATAATTATTTATAACATTATGAGCTTTCCGGATCACTGTTGACTGTTTAGTCCAAGTTGTCCCGAGATCCAGGCTGGGACACAGAGGTGATCCAGTCTTTGCAGCTGTAGCCCCTAAAGCAACTCTGCCTCAGAACATCAGACAAGCGCCAACATTTGCTGTTTTTCAGTCTTATTCTAAAAGATTCACTGGCTTTTAATTCAGTATAAGAGTTGAACAGTTGTCACTGAAAGACAGGTAATAATGTTTATGCTCGTGTTTGTGTACTAAATATCTCTCAAACTCCTGAACAACTTTCAATAAAACTTTTTTAAATTAATTAATTCATCTCAGACATGTCAAATTCACTGTATAGAGAGCATGTCTGTGTATTTARATATTCATATATACCCACATATACATACGTATTTTGAACATATAGAACTCCTTGTAAAATAAATTTAAATAAGTAAATGAAACTATTTTAACTGAAAATACACAAAATAAATAAACCTGTAAAATAAATATGTACCCACACGTCTCTATATATACATACCTTTATACTTACATACACATAACGATACACATAACATAAATCCCATTTAAATCCCATTTAACATGTCTGAAAAGGGGTAAGAAGAAGTTAAATTGATTTAATACCCCTTCTCCAAAACTCCATAACTACACTTTCATTCTTTTAGTTTTCAGAGTCTTATAAGTCTGAGACAGAAAAAAACAAATACACGTATAAAGTAATACTAAATTTTCAAACTGTAAATTCACATCACATTGTGTAGCACTCTGAGGATGATGCTCAGCTACTACCACATCAAGTTTTAGCTCAAGTTCTGTAAAGTCGACCGAATCAGCTGTAGATGTAGCCTGTGACTGTTCCCTGAATGTTTCATTAAAATCTGTCCAGGGATTCATGACATATTCTGCTAATGATAAAAAATAAACAAAAGAACGTGCAAACATGCACAGATTAGAAGAAAACTATTATTTCTCTGCCTTTGCCTGCAGCAGCAGGTGATACTGAAGCTTATTATTTAACTGAGTATGATGTAAAAAATGTAAAAAATTTAAATGTCAAATGAAAAGTACAAAACACTTATTTCTTAGAGGACTGTTCAAAAATCAATCCAGACACCACTGACACTATTAAAATTCAGTCAGTGAAAATCTTGTGATTTTTAAAAATATTTCTCAAGAAAAACAAACAGAGGAGGCGGCTCCACCTGGAACCTGCCCTCCCTCGTACAGTTTCACAACCATGTCAAACTCGATGCACGTGATAAAAACATTTCACAGACAGGTGGGAGAGGTTAACAGCTCAAATGTGACAAAAAAAAAACAGGCCACAAAACGGGTGGGTGGTTTGGTGACATATGTGACTTACAAACTCTCAGGTGTGAAAGTCCCTTCACCAGTCAACACCACACCCCCACCCAGTCTGTCAGAACAGAACGAGCCCTTCGGGTCAGACCTGAAACAGCTTTGCTAATTAATATTTACCTCCTGCTGAAACAATAATGACTACTGACTGAAAAGTCCCCAACACCTTGGAAATTTTATTTCTTTGAGTTACATTTTTTTAAAAAAAAATAAGAACTAACCTTTTACACACTGTACACGCTTTTTCCTTTCAGGGTCGCGTGGGTCACTGGTGCCCATGTCCAGCAATCACAGTGCGGGGTTCACCCTGGACAGGTCTCCAGTCCATCACAGGGACACATAGAGACAAACAACCATTCACTCTCTCACTCACACCTAGGGACAATTTAGAGTTATCAATTAACCTAACAGTCATGCTTTTGGTGTGTGGGAGGAAGCCGGAGTACCCGGAGAGAACACACACATGCACGGAGAGAACATGCAAACTCTACCCAGAAGGGTCCCCAGGTCAGGATTTAAACCGGCGACCTTCTTGCTGAGAGGCAACAGCTCTACCAACTGAGCCACCGTGCCGTCAGCGTGTACAGAAAATGGATGGATGGATGGATTTGACATACTTTTCCTTCAATAATTCAACAGTAAATATTTTCTCTTGGTACAGTCTCCCTTTTTTTCGCCCAGACAAGCACACAGCCATTCTCCTGCCCTCCACACTGACTCCTGTGGCCTCGTTCTGCCCCGTGAAGTTCATGACAGTTCATCCTCTTTGTCCCCGCTGAGCTGAGTCTGGCTACTGTTACCTCACCCACCCACTCCCCCGTCCCTCCCCAGGTCTGCTTCCATCACCCATCCCGGGGGAATAACTGCCTCCGCCACCCACCCCCATCTGTCCCTCCAGCGTGCCGGGCCTCTCCCTGACTCTCCCTCTGCTTTTTGGACGCAGCCTCTTTTTGTGATGTCATTGAGGAGAAGTGAAGCCTTGTAATGTGGGTGTTTGGTGCCCGTCTGTGTGAGTCATTAAACAGGATGGATGTGTGTGTGTGTGTGTGTGTGTGTGTGTGTGTGTGTGTGTGTGTGTGTGTGTGTGTG